TGTACTATCTATATATGTATATATGTATACCGATATGCAAAGACCCGCAAGGAAAGGAAATAATCTACTAGAGAGGACGATGGAACAAAAATAATGTGATATGATTTCTAGAAAGCTAAGTTCTCCTACGTTCTCGCAGGGAGTACGGGTACTCGGGCTGCGACATGGTGAGGAATCGAGTTGTTTTTCCTATTCTTATGCTTATGCTTATGCTATTTATTAATTGAGTCTGGGTTCGAAGGTTGTATTTAAAAGTAGGCGAAGTGCTAAAGATCAACAAGCGGGGGAGATGTGGGAGCTCTCGAAGACAAGGCCGAAAATGCATAGATTCAATGCAACTATGGACTAGATAGAATCAGACATATTTTCCTCACGGGAACAACAAACACCATAAACGCCATTGGAGAGATGCAAGAAAGAAGGGCGTTTGAATGCTTGCAAGCGTAGAAAGCCATGCAACGGTCATTATGCATGTAGCCGATTTCAGAGTCCAATATCCCCCTCCCCCCAACCCCAATATTCCTTCCCATCCCCATGCATCAAAGAAAGTAAACGAAGATGACAGGTCGTAGACTGCGTGATTGTTCGTAGTGGGTATTTAACCCACCACACTACGGAAACTCAATGCCTCAAGGAAGCCACCAAGGTCATCCTTCTGCACTTCGACAACACAATGCTCGAAGCTGTCGATGCGCACACGGGCATTCGTCTCCTGGACTACCTCCTGGAAGGCAATACCAAATCGGTTGCGGAGAAGGTGCTTCTTTCCACGTGGATCTTCCTCGTCCTCGGACTCCGATTCCGATGAGGACTCAGACTCTTCCGAATCTTCGTCTTCGGCGCCAGTCTCCTCTTCTCGTTCGGCACGCTCTGCTGCTCGCTTGGACCGACGCTCTGATCGTTCTTTCTGTTTCTGCTCTTTAAGTTCTTTCTTCTTCTTGCGTTCCTCCTGCCGTTTGGACATGGCGGCGAAGTCAACAACACCGCCGCCGCCACCAGTGCCGACGACTACATAGAGATCGCGGTCTTCATCGAGGCCAGCAAGGACGAGAGGAGTTCCTGCTGCTCTCTTGCGACCGATTTTGACTGAATCACCCCGCTCTTTCTCTTGAACTCGAATGGCCTCGGCGATCCACAAGGCCAATTTCGTCAAGGCCCCGGGGTTTGTGAAGAGTTTTACGTCGGGTCCATCCTTGACCACGGCAATACGGAATGCTCGAAGGTGGCGGATTTGATGCTTAGAGAGCAAGGAGGTACCAGTGCGAAGGATAGCACGGTGTAGATGCTGGGCCAGTGGGAGGGCCTCCAAGAGAATCGTGGGGGATTCAGACGTTAATGAAAGGGCATCATACGCACTCCAGAATCGAGGTAGCAGACTAGCCAAGTCAGATTCGCCTGTGATCCCATTGTTCTCCGTATCATCGCGTGCTCGTGGCAGACGTTTGGAGTCCCAAGAAGCTAAAGTCTCATGTGGCCCAACTTCCAGCATTGCACCCACGATAACGCCTACGTCTGTGGCAGAGAGGCACGCCTTCCAACCCCAACAACGCACAAATCCCCAGCCCTCACGGGCACTCGCGCTCCCAGATCCTTCTGATGGCACGAGTCCATCTAGGCCATACATAGGGGCGTACTTGAGCAGCCGGGATCGTAGTACACGCTTCAATTCCATATCCATGTGGGTGTAGTACTGGTGACACTGGGTCAAACTAATTCCCATCTTGGCGAGAAGTTTGTGCAGTCGTTTGCGGCCATTCTCAGTCCAGACATGCAGCCGCGGTGCAAGGTAGGGACTGTGGAGCATACTCTCGTATAATGACCAGTGTCGGACAAGAAGGAATCGCGGCTCAGGAGAAAGACGAATCGATGTATCGGTGGGCGACCTAGCGGTTGTTGGGATGACACCGTTGATTTCTCCTCGGATGTCACGGTTTGATTCTAGAGGATCAGGCGGGTTCAAACGATGGACTTCATCGCGAAGTATTTGACGAATGTGTTCGCCACGTTGGCCACCCCAGCCTGCTGAGCCACCAGATTCTGATGTATTTGAAATACCCACTCCGGTCATTGTTCGACCACTGAGTTCCAGACTGGAGACACCGACAATAGCAAGCCACAGCAGGTCATTGTCATCTCGTCCAAGCTCAGATGCCAGGGAGTAGATCAGTGACGAAATTGGTTCGGAGTATGAGGTTCCAGACGAGTAGTAGGATTGTAGAACGGAGTCGTGTCTTCGCTTGAGATTAATTAAACGTTTCTTTAATGACCGGGCTGAGGGTTGCTTTGCCTCAGCTGGGGATGGCGAGTCAGTTGTCGGTGTCGCGGATCGCGATGAGTTCGAAGAATTGATTCCAGTCTTTTTGCGGCGAGTTGGGGTTGAGGCGATAGAGGAGCCCTATATCACGCGTTAGTCGATTGCCGGGTAATAGAAATGCTAACACCTACTGAATTGCTTCTCCTCCGTTGGTGGGGCGGCTCATCGCCTTCTGAATCCTCATCGTCTTCGCGACCTGACCAGGATTTGCGCTTTTTCGACCCTGTTTGCATTTCGTCTTCAGATCCGTCGTCACTCGCGTCGTCATCATCGTCGTCTACCTCTGGCATTTCCAGTAAGGCGTAGTATGCTTCTCGTTCGTTGCGAAGCTCTTCCTCAATGTCTCCGTCGTCATACACGATGATTCCGCCGTTCTTCGACGTGTAAGCGGAAGTGACGCACCCTTTGTCAACCCCGCGTCCTCGCCGTCGCGCATTGATGTCGATTTCGGCCATGGGCTGGCCAATCCCTGCTAGTCCACCAAAGACGTTCCCTAGGTTCCACGGCCGTCGCGCGTCGAATACCCAGATCTCCACGCCTCCCATATCTTCTACCTCGTCCTCGGGATTGCTCAATGCTAGTATCTCGCCCAGATCGACCAAACCACCTACACCGAGACAGACGACAACTCCTCCGCTGCCGCCATTGGTGGTCTGCATTGGGCGGACCAGCTCCTCCCCCGCACGCGACAGGTCGCCATATCCTGCAACTGGTTGGATTTTATGAGGGATATAGTCGCGTTTTAACAAAGCGGTGAGAATTCGACAAGCACATAGCGCGTCTGGCTCTAATGCCACGAGAATTAAGACAGGCGGAGAAAGTGGGTGGTGGGATCGGAGGAGTTGTAGGTAGAGATGTGAGATGAGCTGCCGAGGGAGATACATGGCCAGCTTGGGATTGTCATATGCTCATGCGACAGCTCATGAAGAAAGAGAACTTGTAAGAATAAACACAGAAATATGAGGTGGTTATTTGGTGTGAAGCCCTTGCAGCAAAGAGTCTCTCATAGCGCCGGGGAAGTGGACAAGCGCGACGCGTCGGGCACGTGCCGGGATTCCATACCTCTTCATCACCTCGACAATAGTTACTCCCCTTCTTTAGTTACTGGAATATTTCATATTTCACTATTGGATGTCTTACTCTTTAACTCCTTGAATTAAATTTGGATATAGATAGATCTTCCAAAATATGGGTTAATCCACCTTGTACGGAGTAGCTCAACGCAAATTGGGTGCTTTAGGCGAAATTCCTATGTACTCTATACTCCGTACTCTAAATTGAGCTTTTCCACACGCAAATCGTTTGTTCTGATATGCAGCGCGACAAGTTGGATTAAAACACCCCTACCCTATACATATGTATACACCGGATTTTAGGCCGAGCGAGATGGCTTTCCCTTTCCGCTTTAGTGCTCTGCCGCTCTTTGCTCACTGAGTTAAGTGTTTAGTTAACTAAAACTGAGCATGGCCCCTGGGTATTACATAATCATCGTGACAACCCGTGGACCCGTGGACCCGTGGACTCTGTTGTACAGCCTCTTACATTGTCCATTTACCCAATCATCATCCCAGACACCAAGATGTCTTATATAAACGTAACCAACTTGTTAACTAACTAGGTGGTCTGTGTACTAGCCATGAAAAGCCCGTGCTGTGTCTGTGTTATATAATCAAAATCACATGTCGATAACTATTTCATTACGTATTCCCAAAAAAGGTAGGCGGTACAATTCTGCCCAAAAATGGGTGTTATATTGAACTTTAAGGATGTCCTTTCGCCCTTCGGGGCATATGGTCATATGAAAATATACAGAGAAGATTAGCATGGCCCCTGCACTAAGGATGACATGTCTCAATCAAAGAGCAGCTACCTATTTTTTCTTTCTTTACAGATCCTATTTTGATGATATACAGGCATGGGGGAAAGCTCGACAAAATACCTAGTTCTAATTGGTGGGTGCTACCGGATTAGTCAGTCACGTGTGATCGGCAAATGGCGTCGTGAGTTCGAGACCCGCTCCGCGCGAAAGAGCGGATCCTCTAAAAACCGACCAACCAAGGTCAAGTATTGTATTCTACATAGTAAATTCCATCCAAAAATTGGGGTTAAAATGAAGTCCAGGATGCTATATTTTGCCCTTCGGGGCATGCCCCGAAAGATTCCCAAGGTATGTGTTGCTCCAGAATTGACATAACATGGTTAATGAATCTGTGCTAACTTTTTTTGTTTTGGTTTCATCCTTTCGACGTTCCATTTCGACGACTTAGGGTGAGGGGTTTTTAAGTGGGTTTTTAGTTTTCAGATGAGTGGGTCGTAGGTTCGAGCCGATATTGGTACGAACTTTCTTTTTTCCTTTCTCATTGGGCTCAACCCTCGAACTCACTGAGCATCACCTGATCGTTATATAAGCTGGATGGTCACCTGATTTGCTCGCTATTTTATATATCACGTGGGGATAAGCCGAACTTATTTTCGGAAGCAAATTAAGGTTGTAATATCAAGGGCTACTAAGCCTAATTAGGTAGGCTTGTTACCCTTAACTATGGAGAATTAATCTGGGACCGCATCGTTTTCTTCTTTCTCGACAATCAACAGCAACAGCAACAGCAACAGCAACATCAATAGCAACATCAATAGCAACATCAACATCAACATCAACATCAACATCAACACCAACATCACAACGATGTCTTCCCATCTACGCGGAATTTCCGAAGATTCTGTAGCCTCCCACGACACTGAACTGTCCGCAGATGCTCGTCTGGCTAGAGCCACTGAAGAAATTCTGGCAGTTACAGAGGCTCCGACAAAAGATACAAAAGATGAAGACATACTACGGCGGGCCCTAAGTGTGCGCTCCATTATATCAACCTCTTCAAGCTTCGCAGAGCGTATGCAGCGAGCAAAATTACTTCAGGATGCTGCGCTTGTTGTCATCGGCCGGGGAACATGCGGTACGATCTTTGAGATCCCTGGAACAGAGTCAGCGTACAAAAAAGGAAGCGATAAGGTCTCGCTGTGGAACGATGCAAACCTCACCAACATTGCCTGCCGTGCAGTGATAGAGACGAAGACTTGTCTTCAGGAGATATTCCCAAATGTCTCAATCCCTCGTGTGCCTATAGTGACTGGATGGATCAGTGAGAATGACCTGGAAAACTGGTGGCGAGAGAACCTACGACGATTCCCAAAGAATACTCGAAAAACTGGATATCTTTTCCAAGTCCAGCGGATCTTACCGCTTCCTAAGCCTTGCCGTGAAGCTCTTATTCGCCTCTATTTTCCGAAGACAATGCACGAATCGGCACTTAAGGACCCGGATAATAAGGCATGCCTTATACGACCATACCTTGGTCAGCGAAGGGGAGAGAGAGAGTTGTCTAATCCAGCGCTCAGCCTTCAGAACTTTCCTCTTTATCTCGATCAGATAGAGGAACTCGAGTTAGAGGCTATCCAACTTTCCGAAGAGATGGCTATCGGACTAGCTACCATTCACTGGAAGGCTTGTTTAGACGGTATGGACATGGAATTCGTACTCGGTAGTGCGACAACAAATGGAGAACTTCCGACCGTTGTGGAAAACTTCAAGACAGTGGCGCCCTTTGATATCCCTGCGGGTGACTTTAAAAGGCGGCAGGTGCATCTCTGGATGCTTGACTTCGATAAGGCCGACCAGCTTTGCCTACACGTAAAGGAGAGCTGGAAGTCTTGCTGCGATAAAATGGTCACTGCTGTGACAGCCAACGACCCTTATTTCCCCAACCCGGCGGCTACAGGAACCCTTGAAGAAAAGTTATGGGATACATTTGAGCGTGCCTATCTTCTTGCTGCGTCTAATCTCCTGATTACTCAGAAGGGTCTACCAAAGAAGGCGGATAAATACCCGGCTCAATTTTTGAAGGCATGGAAGAAGAGAGCTATAGAGCTGGCAGAAGACACAGAGGGTGACTTTGTGGAGTTTGGGTGAATAGTTATAGGGTTCTTTAAATGGCCCTCCGTTTTGCTATAGCACAGTTCGGCTGTCTTATTATTATCTGAGCGTTCTTTGGGTGGTGGGCACTTGTGGATGTGACTTGAAGCGTTGAATCGTTCTACAGCCGTGAAGAGCATTACTCGGTAGATTTTATGAATATATGTGTTTACACCTTTTGACTCCAACTGAAATAGGAGGGTGATTAGGAGAGAAAGGAGACATTGCCATACTTTGCTTGCATCTTTAGCGAGTTGGTTACTTTGGTTACATATATCAAAAGCATAGTTGATTCCCTTCAAGTGTTGGGTCGGAGGATATCTTTCAAATTCAATAATCACAGAGGTAACGCCTTTCGCCATGAACATGCTATATTCTCCAAAAGTATCCCAGTGAGGACATTATGGCCATACATCTATGAGTCCAGGAAAGAATCCAAGACTGCAGCCAAAGGGAAGAGACTCCGTACTTTCCTGTGTAATATTAAACAGACGAGCGGCCCAAAATTGATCCAGCCACCCAGATAGCGGTGCATGCACCAACGACAGAGATTCCAACTAGCCGCTTGCCCCAGCTACCGTCTTCCGCCATTTTGGTCGGCCCAACGGTATTCTTCAGCTTCAGATGCAAAGATGATGAATGCAGGTCTTCGGTGACATTTCCAGCGGAATCACCCAGTATGGCTGAATATTCTTCGTCACGCTTTTGCCACTTCTCAACAAGTCGCGCAATCTCAGCCAAATCTTCCTTAAGAGAGCCAGGCTCAGTGGCGTTGGAATTCTCAACTTCCACGTTCTGGACATTGCCGAAGAAGTCAACCACAGTCCGCAGGCGCCCTTCTTGCTCGCCTCCGGGGAACAAATCCCACCGGACACCCGGCTGGGAGTGGATCTTCGACTCGTCATAGGAATCGAACAGGTCTCCTAGGTTGAGTTTGGAAGTGACACTTGTCACTTGTGTCTCGAGGAATTCAAGAACATAGTATGTCCAGCGATCAATGACAGCGACGCCGACATCGTTGTCGGCGTGGTGGGAATAGGAAGACTGGTCGATCTCGCTGGAGCCTGTCGCCACGATGTTAGGCGAGTAGAAATGGGTGTACATCGTATTGGCCTGGCAAGTATCGATCATGAACAGCAGCTCATGGTAGCGCTTCTTCTCCCACATCTGTCCAAACGCGTCCGCAAGATCCCACGCACCGATCTCTTCGGCATCCTGGAACTTTAGGAATTGGTCACCTCCATGTCCGGTCATATACACTAGTACATTGCTGCCGGCATCGGACCCCAAGCGCTTACTGCGCGGTACGTCTTCGTCGAGGCGGTCGGTCAAGAGTCGGATGAAGTTCTCCACGGTCACTTCGTACCCCCTATAGTCCACTTCGATGTTGTCGCCGTATAGATCGACGGCACGGTCTGCATTACTGTATACGGTGCCGGGAAAAGCGTTTCGGGGGTTGCAAGCCATGTCATCGGGGAGCATGAGTATAATCTGTGAATCGGGAATGCCGAGCCGTTTGACGGTTCGGTATAGTGAGAGAACATTGGCGAGGTGGCGGTAGTTGAACCAGAAGCGGGAGGTAGATACAAGCACCGCCCAGTTAGAAGTGTGTTCGGCGGCAACTGCGCTGGCAAGGAGCAGCAAGGCGAACGCCTGTAGGAAGCGGAAGAGCAAAGCCATTGTGATGGCGATCAGGTCATAGTAGGGAGGAGGAACACAACTTGTATCACTAGCCAGTAAATGTGAAATTGGCGACAAAGCATAAGTCAAATTAAAGGCCGCAGATATCGATCACACTAATCATATCAAGGCCATAGCACAAATGGCCGGAAGAAGACAGACAGCTTCACGAAGCTACCCAGGTCAGATAGGAGATTACAAATGTCGGGGAACATTTAATGCCACTTTTCTAAGGCATCAATACTGACGCGCTATGGATAGCGTCACCGCCTTTGTCGGAGTCGGCATATTGGTCCCGCAGATCAGATCATGTAGTAGAAACTCGATTCCACCTCTTTCTTTTCACATCCATTCCTCACATTCTGTCTAGCGGTTAGTTTGGACTTCATATTTCATCATGGCAGGCAAGAAAGGAGCAGGTGAGAACAGCAAGAAGGTCGCCGGAAACGCTCGTGTATGTTTTTTTTTTTTTAAACCCCGCCCCCGCTATTATTGCCACATCCCTCAAGCATTTGAATAAAAGCTGACAGTGCTGTACAGAAAGCGGACGCCGCGGCATCAAAGAAGGCAGCCGAGGACCAGAAGAAGGCTGCAGATGAGGAAAAGCAATGGTCTAAGGGATCCAAGAGCAGTGCTAAGAAGTAAATCAAGCTCCCAAAGGAAGCATATCCCTAAGTGCCGAGCTAATCACCTTCAATCTATAGGGAAGACTCCGAATCTAAGAAAGCCGAGGCTGCCCGCAAGAAGGCCGAACGAGATGCCCTACTCGCCGAGGAGGAAGCCTCTCAACCAGCCAAGGCCAAAGGCGCAAACGCCAAGAGCGCACAAAAGAAGACTCGTGGCCTCGATCTTTCACAGTTGGACGATGCTCCTGCAGGCAGCAAGAAGGATTCTGCTCTCAGTGCCACTGGTATCGACAACGCCCTAGATGCCCTGTCTCTGGCTTCGAAGGACACATCCAAGATCGACCGACACCCCGAGCGCCGATTCAAGGCCGCCTATGCCGCATTTGAGGAGAGACGCTTGCCAGAGATTGAGGAGGAAAACCCTGGTCTGCGCCGAAACCAGCGTATGGATCTCTGCCGGAAGGAATTCGAGAAGAGCGAAGAGAACCCATTCAACCAGGTGCACGCGGCTGTCAATGCTACCAAGGAAGAGGTTGCCGCGCTTCGGGATAGCGAGCGTAAGAAGGTCGAAGGCAGACTTGGCGGCAAATAGATTGGTCTGTCGCTGGATCACAAGCATTCAGGCGCATGGATTGTTGGGAAGTTGTGAGCAATATCTCGATATTGTCGCACTGACCATGGGTCCTGAGTCTTCATGCTCTCAAATACCCAACACGGATGGTGTTCTCACGATTGTGAGCGTCTTATCTTGATTCGGAGTCGTTTTTGCACGGTTCGGGAATACCAGCCGTTTTCGAGTCATCGAGTCGCTACAGTCAAACAAAAGGCTCGAGCGTCAAGCCCGGGGAATACACAACCGTGACGCATTTGCTCTTACATCGCACCATGCATTGTGTTTTCCGGCATATAAACTTACGAAATAAAATGATCAATATCCCTTTCAAATCAGGTAGTCTGCTCTAGCAGCAGGCGGTCAACTCGACATCTTAAGCAAACACCTCTATAGCAAGCTCCTACATATATCATCATAGCTGTGCTTCACCTGGAAAATTTGACAAGCCTCTGGACCCTGCCAGAAGCATATATAATTGGTTGGTATTCACATATCCTATGACATCGTAGCTCGCACATCCCACACATATAGACTCTCATCCCAGCCAACACTAGCACACCAGCCCTCACTTCCAAACAGACACCAGTCCACACCCGTCACAAACTCAGTATGGTTGCCCATACGCCCTAGTTCTGCGCCAACCACTGGACCAGCGCGCATCATATCCATATCCCCGCCCAGGCCCGCATCTGACCGGTCACTCCACACTCGACAAGTCATATCGTAGCTCGCACTCAAAAGAACATTAGAAAGATGCGGCGACCAAGCCACTTTTCGCACAGCATATTCATGTCCGAGCATAGTGGCCAACGGCCCTTGTTGTGGGGCCCGGATATCAAATGTCCGAATAGCACGATCAACACCCGCCGTAGCTAGAACAGTGGGACGGTACTTGTTCCAGTCGTGGGTGAGGGCCTCGGCAGGCGGGACAGGGCCGCCGGGTTGACCGGGGATTGCAGGTGCGGGCGGACCGGCGTGGATGGGGATCTGGGTGACGAGGTGGTTGGAAGCGGATGCCGGGGTGCGGAGATCGAAAACGCGCACGTATGAGTCTGATGTCACACACGAGATGATGTCTGGGCTGTGCGGACAGAAGGATGCGGAGTAGGTGCAGCTGTGAGTTGGGAGGGTGAGGAGGGACTGCGGGCGATGTGGCGACCAGATGCGGACTGTGCCGTCCCAGCTACTTGAGCAGAAGCGGTCTTTTGCAACTGGATTCCAGCTTACGCTGAATACTTCCCGCGCGTGTTCTTTCCAGTTTGAAATTGGGAAGTCGTTCGCTGTGCAGTCGAATAGCTTGATGCTGCCGTCGCCTGATGCGGCGAGGACTTGGTTCTCGTGGAGTTCGGACCATGCGAGGTCATATAATGAGTCTTGTGTTGTGAACCTGGAGGTTGTGATAGCGCCACATTGTTAGAGCTCTGTTCTTATTTCCGACTCGGTTGCGCACTCCGTCGCGAGGGTCTGCGAATATCCCACTTACCACTTTAGCGGTTGAATTCCATTCGCAGTCAGCTCCAAGATATGCAGGCGGCCATTGCCAACTAGGCCAAAATTTGAAGAGCTTGCAACAGCTAGCCGATTGTCAAAGAATGGGGAGTATTTGACTGCGCAACCGTTATATCCTTGTGTGCGGTAATGGAGCATGATGGACAACTGATCGGCCCCAGTCGCACGAGGGATGAGAGAGGAAAGAGAAAGAGAAAAGGGAATGAGATCTTCACGCAAGCTAGGGTATCAAAAAGATAAACGTCAACGGTCATGAAGATGTTAAGTTCGGATTCGGCGTATGATCTCGGGATTGCGGGGATCAAATGGGCCGAGGTCCTTCCTTGGCTTTCAGGCACGGCCTTTTTCTATACTTTCACATTCGCTTGATGATTGAGTTAACATACCTATATCTGTATTGTAGTATTGAAATAGAATCAGTTGAATTGGTTCCTGATTATTTTCTCCTCTTATATAGTGACTTTATTTCTCAAGCTTGTCTCTCGTTTTAAGTGGTCAAATTACCAGCATACATGTATTCATCAATACATCATGTGTTCATATATATACTAACATATTTCCGGACTCTATTTCTCAAATTGCTCTACTTATATTGAATACAGATAGGGTAAAGCTACGCTCATATACGATAGATCAATGGGGGAGGTAGACTATGTTGTGGTGTTCGTGATCGTTGACGTCAACGGGCTATATCTACAACTGCATATGTACATCCAGCCCTAATTGCAACAGTAATAAGGAACCATTCTAGACCCTCAATTTTCCATTCAATAACATAGATTCAAGCCAATCACGTTGCATAGGTACAAGTTGAGCCACCCTAGAATAATTTGCCCCAGCCCCTGCAAAGTATGGGAATGACGCCATGATTGGCCTCCTCTGCAATCTGCGTCTAGTCTACTCGGTTCAGTTTTGATTGAATCTACACTCTTCTTAACATATGAACTAAAATGATAAGCTCCAGACCATATAATACCCAAATCGCACCCACATTGGGAGGTGACAGCCCAATGCCAATGCCAAAGAACTATACATCCCCGGCCAATGTATTCCTCAAAGAAGAAGTTTACCGACTCGGCACAGTTCCAGGGCTGAGATCCCTACCTCCAGGCCCAGAGCGCGACTTTCTCACCCTGTCATGGGGACCCATCGTCTACCGCACCACGTACGCCCCTGAAACCAAACGTCTCCTCCCCGTGTTCCTGCGATACCTCAACAATTCCGTGCACCAGTCGTTGCGCCGGACGTTACCAGGCTCCGATGATGAAATTCAAATTCTCACAAACACATATTACTGCAAGGTTTTCAACTCGCTTGATATGTACGCCAATATGGACGAGGAAACGGTCCGACAAGTCTTTCATGATTTCAAGCTGTCGCTTGGGATACCTGAAATAGAGCTCCCGAGTAGACTGCGCATATGTTTAATGCTAGATGATGAACCGTTATCACACTTGAAACGCGTTTTGGATTCTTCCTCGATGGTTGAGGGCGATGCAGATGTGGGTGGATGCTGGGTAAAGGTTGTTGAGGAGAATTTCCCGGATTCGAGGATTGGTGATCACCCGCTTGCGAACCCCGATACAGAATGTGTGTCTGATTCTGCTGGAGAAAATCATGGGATCTATTCTGGGTGGACGATGGTGGCACTCGATGCATTGGTAGAGGTCTTTGATGGGCTTCGGCAGATGAAATGTTTGATCGACTATCATCGGGAGGGAAAGATATACTTGGGAGAGGGCAAATGGAGCCTTTAGTCTATATTAAAGTGTGTTAGGTTGGCCCTTGGAATCGTTTCCCACATCCTTTCCACGTACATTTCATAAGAATAGTCAGCTGCCGATACAGCCTTTATCCTTGACTCCATAGTTCAATAATCTGCCTAAGTGATACATTGGGGTTAGATAATATCAGGTATATTAAAGTTTGGGAAGAGGTATAAACAGCAAGTCAAACTAAGGGAGTTCCTCTTAATCTTTGAGGGAGATCGAAAGGAAAGGCTGTCGTTGCGATATACTAGTAGGAAGGAACTGAAGAGAATGAAGACAAATTGGATGGGATTGGATTGCACGAGATCAAGTTAAACGCAGTACTATATATAAGTGGGAATATCATATCAAAGTCTTTGATACAGCCTACAGCGAAATCGGCGCTACCGCCACTTTCACAACAATTCTTATGTTGTAGTTATCCTAGAGTATCTTATTTGACGTCATACGTCAGTACCACATGTGGCTGGCTGAATGATCGGCAAAGATGACCAGCTATCAAGTTGGATTGAATTTCCGTTTCTGCTTGGCCAATATCAAAAGCGGGCCTACAAAGTGTACCTAAGGTCAAATACTTATGGAATACCACTGTAGCATACCGTACTCTTGATTTGTGACTCCTCTGTTGTCGTTCCTAGATGAAAGCAACCCGAGGCTCGTGGCCAGCGAATACAAGCTATCTCTGTCGTTTTCCACGACCAGGGAAATGACCGGTACACACCGTTGCTGTTCTTTGGATTTTAGAGGGTATTTAGATACTGGTCGAATTTGGCCCATTCCGGCTGCTGTATTATTGGCTAAAGAAATGTGATTGATGTCACTAGCTGCTCTCACCGAAATATGCTACGTAGTACTAGTACGGAGTATTTACTCCACACTAGCATATTTATATAGTCCCCCCATATCCCCAAAATCCTCTTCTCTTATTATTTACACTTAATACCACTACTCTATCTCTGTCCTTAACCAACCTCTACTCCGTACCTAGCATATCTTGCAATATGACGCCTCCTACTCGTGGTGAAGTTGAGGCACGAGTGAAAATGGTTATTAGCAAAATCTTGCATCGTTCTCCATCCTTCGTATGATAATATTCCCCTATTTGGAATAAAACTTCTTTGGAGTTCACTCACGCTAATTCAACTTTACTATATATAGATTGGGAACGAGTACTTTTTGGCGTTTGATGTTTATACTCAAACATGTTATTATGGGGACATAGTAGAGGGCCTAGAAAAGGTATGTGGAGTTTATTTCATTCAAGTCCTAATAATACTAATAAGGAATAATAAGGAATTCAACTTCAAGTGGAACTATTCAAAAAACATTTATGACAATGACAATGTAATTGAGAAAGGTAAGTGATATATTACTACTATGAACCATATTTTATTTGCCTCCTAGACCTTCTAACCGCTAAAATATTAATAGTTTCAAACGCTATTGAACTTTGTATTTATGAAAGTACCATTCAAGATCCAGACTGGAGGAAGGAGCACGGTCTCAAAGACTGATTGTTGGATAGTTTGACTGTTGACTGCTATAAGTTTCGATGCCGCTCACTGCTGTTTATTATATTTAGAAACTGTTTTCGCTGTCTTAAGTCTCCTTCAATCTACAATTTGCAACTATCCATCTCAAATCATCCTTTTAGCTACAACAACATTCGGCAGAGAAAAGGGATCTCTCAAAATACCATTGATAATTAGTGTTTCTGTTTCTGCTTCTCCTCTTCCCTTGAGTAATTGACGATTGCAGACATCGTCAGGATACAATATTTGGCGTATCGTTTCAACTTCCACTTAGGATAAATACCCAATTAGATTGCCATTCCTTTAGCTACAATCCCAGCAACTTTTAAGGCGCTTACTGTTTCGATGTCCTGTTCACAGAGCTTTTTATTTCGCTTCTCGAGAGCAAAAGTACATAGGTAATAAGCGAAGCTTCGTCTGAGCCTGGACGAAAAACGGGGAACAGACGGGCTTTGCCTTGAGCTAACCACCTTCCTTGGCTATAGCCCCCTAAGGAGGCGCTACATTTTCTCATTCTCCATTTCGTTCTCTAACATATACCAGGGGATGGGATCATTAATTAGGCATTGCTGAGTATCTCCCCAACCCAACCGTTCCTGATGTAGTGTGCGAGCATGTTCTTCTCGTTGAAGCTGCTGATCTCGCTCGTATTCCCGATCCCATCCACAATAATCAGCCCGCGTCTCTTTCAGATACCGCGATGAAGACCTATAATCGTCTCATTAATACTCTTCGCTCGAGTGGTTCGCTTTCTAAATATGTACGTACCAAAATTCAACGTTTTTCGAAAAGTCATCTCCAGTAAGACGGCAGTTAGAGAGCCAACGAGAATCTGCAGGCCATTTACAGCTGCCTAGATCCCGTTTCACGTCAAACACAGCAATCTGCTTATATTGAGATAACGTGAAGTCTCTGTCAATCAAAGTCCGACACTGTGGACAATCTCGGTTGGGCGATTCCGAAGATGTGAGAGAATTAAGATCCACATGAGGACAGGGAAAGATAGGTTCAGCACCGGCACGAGCGAGGTGGGTAGATAGGTGGATCGTATACCGAGCATGTACAACTAGATGGTCGGTTTTGTCGATGAATATACGCATCTTGACTCGACCATTGTGGTTAGGCGTTGTAACCAATAAACAACTATGACTTAAATGAGGTCCGTCAGTACGATCGAAATTGAAAGGGCCGATTTGGACTTCGGGTAGCTTATCAGTGCGCGATTTAAGGAGTTTCACAATCCTCCCTCGTTCGCGAATCGTCCAGGCAGCGCATGAGCACAGGTCAACTATACCGGCATATTCCGTACAAGACCTCCCTCGATCTGGATACTGGAGTGAAGCTCGACTAAATTCCTTTCGTGGATGGAGCTTTAAACATTTCCCGCAATATTTCCAGCGGTGATTTTCAAGCTGGAGAAGAAGTTGGTTTCGTGGTACCTTTGTACTATTCGTACAGATTTGGCTTTTTCAGGGCCGATGTCCAATTTGTCTATGGAGCCCAAAACCTAGTTCCCTTAATTTTCAGGAACATCCATTTATGCATCTTCTGTTGCTGTTATGTGACTTATAGTTTGGTGTCTATGTATCTGGGACTATTCTTAGGGTGCTTATTTATAGGAGAGGGATGTTTCGGGGTTGCAAGTTACTAATTGTAGTGTTATGCCTACGTACGCCTTATATAGGACATAATCGGTGAAGATGTAACACCTAGTCTCGTTACATGGGCCTGTATCGATGAAACCGCAATCTGATTGGTTACTTCGACAGCAATCATGTGCCGATAAGCATTTTATCGTGGGCTTATCAATCACTTCAAACATCCTGAGCCCATTCATCACATACACATTCGAGCCCCGAAAGAATGGATTTGAAAAATGGATGCTTTCATATCAAGGAAGCGTCCACGGCTCTCTAATCCGAGCGAGGAGGCCAATCACGACTCACCAGACCCCCGCGAAGACTCAACTGATACGAAGCTAGCAATACTGCTATCTCTCTTCCCGACTATGAAACAGGATGAGCTATTGGATATACTCGTATCCTGCGAAGGGTCTGTGGAGAATGTTTCCGGACTCCTCTCTGTAAAAGACTCCACGGCATACACACCCGTCAGCAAAAAGCGAGCTGCTGTTACCTCAACATCCGGCATGCAGACATCTCTCTCATCACATGTTTTTACAACAGCTGAAGATGGGAGCATGAAGCCTTTGCATGAGAGGATGAGCAAGAAAAAGCTTCCGCTTCCACAAAAAGGCAAAACGTTACACCTTTACTCGCCTGAGGATATTGCCACCTACACACCTTGTACTATCATCCACAACTTCCTACCAGCTCAAGACGCAAACACACTTCTTCTTGAATTGCTCGATGAATCGAAACACTTTTCTCGGTATGATTTCCAAGTCTTCAGCCGCACCGTCCAGAGTCCCCACACACACGCTGTGTATGTCTCTACACCCGAAGAACACCGGCAACAGACCTCAGAGTATACTTACGGTGGCACATATCGGTCAAATGTACGTCAGGCAACACCACAGCTACGGTCAGTGTCACGTCAAGTACAGAAAATCGTCAACGACGAGATCAACAAACGAATTCGAGACGTCTATCCAGACGGGAAGAGGTTGCAATACCAGTCACCAAAGGAGTGGCGCCCCAACGCAGCGTTTGTCAACTGCTACGATGGGCCGACCGAAAGCGTGGGATATCACTCCGACGAACTCACCTACCTTGGACCACACCCGGTGATAGGCAGCTTAAGCTTGGGCGTGGCACGCGAATTCCGAGTCCGCCGGATAGTACCTCGAGACGACGACGAGACCGCGGAAGACCATGATACCAATAAGTCTAGTCCAGTCTCACACTCAGCGCGGAACCAGACTGCATCAGCCGCACGCGCTGACGCCCAAGGTCAAATCTCAATCCATCTTCCGCACAATTCTCTCCTCATTATGCACGCAGAGATGCAAGAGGAGTGGAAACACTCTATTACCCCGGCTCAAACTATTTCCCCACATCCGATCTCTGGGAACAGGCGTATCAATATCACATATCGTTGGTATCGTGACACGTTACACCCACGCTACACCCCACGTTGCAAGTGTGGCGAACACACGATTCTTCGATGTGCACAACGCAAGCATGAGACACGAGGAAGATATATGTGGATGTGCTATGCTGGCTTTACGCCAGGGAAGGAAGGGTGTTCATTCTTCCAGTGGGCTGAGTTTGATAATGATGGGGATCCGGTGTGGGGAAAGAAAGCCATCCAGGACAAGGCCCCTACTTTGGCGAATTTCTCGGCATCTCAATAATCTCAATAATATGATATGAGACTCATGTATGGTCAAGACGTGGAATCATCCCGCCTTTTGACCTCGGGATATAAAGTACTTCCATCTGTGAAACCTGTGAAGTTGAACTCCGCAAAACAAGGGTTGGAGACTGCGGCCTCACATTCCGCGTAACTCCACTTTGTGGGTCTTCAGCCGTCTTGACACCTCATTTGGACCAATTACATTCCATAAACCTACTAGCCTTTCACCGGATCTTGGCTCTAATATTTATGAATGGGTTGACCTCCAATCAACGTGTACAGAGGTGGGCAGGATTGCCCTAACCTACCCCTCAATATGAAAGCTATACTCCGTATTGGATGCGGAATGCATCCCCCCTGTTCCGCGCCGCTGTTTCAACATGTGCGGTGTAAAAAGCTGGCGAGAATCGAAATTCATCCCTTTTGTTATGGAGTAGTGATCTTTCATTTGCCATCTGTATGCAATCGTGATCTACAACGTACACCATGGCTTCTGGAATCAAAGATACCTATGACTATATTGTCTGCGGGTAAGATACCTCCCCAAGGAATCTTATGACCTTGCTAATACTGAGGTAGAGGAGGAACCTCGGGCTGTGTGGTTGCTGGTCGGTTAGCTGAAAACCCTGAGGTCAGCGTCTTGCTTCTGGAAGCTGGACAGCACAATAAGGGCTTGGAGAATGTTCATATGACCGGCGGGTGAGTTACAAAGCCTTGTTGACGCATCCATTGTTACTGACAGGCCAGGTGGTCAAACAACTTCGATGCTGAGACCGACTGGAACTTCGTCACCCCTCCAATGGCCGGGGTGGATAACCGCCAAGTGAAGCTGAGCCGTGGCCGATTTCTTGGAGGATCTAGCGGGTGCAATGGGACACTTTGCATTCGTGGTAACAAGCAGGACTATGATGACTGGGGACTAGATGGGTGGAGTGGAGAAGAGTTCTTCAAGTATATGAGAAAGGTAGGTGGTAGTGGCATGATTCCATGACACGCCGGTATTGATACGATACTCAAGGAGATACTGACAACATAAGTAGTCCGAGACCTTCCACCCAAAGCCATGGTTCCAGGCCGATAAAGAAAGTCACGGCTACTCCGGACCTCTGCACACAGAGCCGCATGATCTGGCACCCATTTCCCAGCTCCTACTGGACTCGTATGTTTCGCAAGGCATGCCCTTGCACCATGACATGTTCAGCACTGGCGATGTCGCGCAAGGATGTGGCCATGTACCTCGCACGGTGTATGAAGGACTACGGACAACAGGCGCAGATTTCGTAACTAACAAGAACCACCGTGGAAATATCACCATCAGGACCGATACCACTGTCGACAAAATCATATTCAGCAAGCGGGCAAACGAGACTCGCGCTTCGGGTGTAGTCACACAAACGTCAAATGGCGACTCTACCATCTACTACGCTCGAAAAGAGATCATCATCTCGGCAGGCGCCTACTGCAGTCCGGCAATCCTGCTCCGATCTGGAATCGGCCCCAAGGCCGAGCTAGCACAGCACAATATTCCCTCTTTGATCAACCTACCAGGCGTGGGCAAGAACCTAATGGACCATCTCGTTAGTAATCCCTACCCAACCATCAATATTAAAATAAACCATCCTAACACTCACATCCTCTAGATCGTATTCATGTTCTACGAAACCGAAAAACAAGGCCTAACAAACGACCACCACGTATACCACGGCGACAACTTCGACCGAACCTACGCACAATGGAAAGAGAACAAAACCGGTTTCCTATCCACCTTCCCCTTCGGCAGCTTCGCCTTCGCACGTCTCGATGACAGACTAAAAGACGAGCCACTCTGGAAAAACGCAGCCCGCAACCCAGGCCGGGACCCCATGGGCTTGACATCACAACAACCAAACATCGAGCTCTTTACCACGGAGTGCTACGGCGGTCCCAAGCAATACGACCAATTCCCGATTAACAACCAGCATGCATTTTCCATGATTGCGGAGTTATTTGCGCCGAAATCTCGTGGCACGGTGGTTCTCGAATCGGCGGATGCATCGATAAACCCGATTGTTGATTGTAATTATCTGGCTGATCCGCTCGATCTGTTGGTTCTTAGTGAGGCTTGTCGGTTTGGGAATGAGGTTGTTATGCAGGGTGTCGGGACTAAGGATATTGTTAAGGGGTCTTGGCCGCCGAATTTGAATCATCATACTTATAAAACGAGGGAGGAGTGGGTTCCTTATGTGAAGCAGCATGCGACTACTTGTGAGTTCTGGTTGGAATTAATTGTATCTGGATTGTGGTTGACTAACGCTGTGGTTAATAGGCTACCATGCGGCGGGCACTTGTGCCATGGGAAAGAACGATAACCCTCTGGCTGTTCTCGATGAGAAATTGCAGGTCAGGGGTGTTTCGGGGCTGAGAGTTGCTGATTGCAGTGTCATGCCTTCGTTGCATGGAGGACATACCCAGATGCCGGCTTATGGCATCGGGGAGAAATGTGCGGATTTAATTAAAGAGACATGGCGGACGGCAGGCAATGTCTATCCTCGTATATGATACTTCATGTCTACGCTATACCCAGTTCCAGTACTACATTGGAACACAAGAAATAATTTCAATTCATTGGCCAAAATAACGAGTTGCATCCAATTGAAACTTATACTTCAGTGGTAAGAGAGAGCCTGGCTATAGAGGTATAGAGGTACAAATATAAAGCGTAACTCAAGTCTGTCAAAAGAAAATCCAGAACAAAGCCCATAAGAATAGAGTGACCACTCCAAAAAGCAAATGCAGACAGTTGATCTCAACTGAGTTCGCTTGCAGATCCCAAGCTGATACTGATAGCACCATCATCAAGTTCATATGACATCAGTGCTGAAACTTCACGATGATCATTAGACGGACGGGGCGGCACGCCCGGGGTGCGCGAGATGGTGCAATGAGTTTCCAAACAAATGGTATGCGATTTTGGTAGCAAAGAGTGCTGGTGCTCGAGGCGGGCGCTTAAAACATGCTGAGCAGCCGGCTCGGAAGAATACGCTTTCAGAACACTGTTGATCTGCCGGATCAGATCTTCGAGCACGGGATGTTCAGTCAATTGAGTTTCCTGATAAAACTCGATCGGCACACCTATTTTCACTTTTAAGATCCAGGTCTCCCCTGGTCGCAATCGCGCCAGATGGCAGTCTTCTATTACCGACTCAAATCGACATCCGTAGCCCTGCTCAACAAATAGTTTCAAGTCCGATAGGGCCCCTGGGCTGAGGCCAGTACGAAGCTGCCGTACGACTTTGGAGACCTTTCGCATGAAATGAACTTCGCAGGATCGTGGATCGTCCTCCTCAGCATCATAGAAAATGTGCCAGCCAAGTGGATGGTTCGCTGTGTTAAGAGGAAAACGAAGCTGGGGAGAGATTGTGTGGATACCAATGGCCGTGTCCACGCCAGATATAAACAGATTTTCTGGAGGACACGAGGAAATGAATACCAGATGACAAAACGCTGCTCTGGGAGACAGGTAGAAGAGTCGAGATGCCTGTCGAATAGACTTACCCGCGTCGGGGGCCCTTCTCGTTTTCTTCTTTAACTGACGGACAGAAAATTCATTCAGGGTAGTTCTCAACGTCTCAAACGAGTGGAACCCCAACGGAAGCAATAGCTCAAACCCATTCTTTCCGTCAACACATGCTATGGCTATCCTGTCACTGTTGATGAGCAAATTTGAAGTAAACACAGAAGATGCCAGGACCATTGGCGTCAAAAGGCTAACAGAAGATTGCTGCCTGTTTCATGGTTAGCAAAAACTGATTTCCTTAACGAGTAAGCCAACAGAGTCAACTCACAGGCTGTCAAAAAGTATAATGATGTCAAGGGGTGCAAGGCTTGAGCTCTCGGGCAGGGAAATGGGCTCAACATCAGCAGATACATTTACCGACGTCCATAGAGACATCGAATCTGTGCCCATGCACGGCCAGCCTGTATAGGATCTCACGCTGGCAAATGCGACAGGAAGTTCCAACGGACAAAGTAATCCAGACGACCCTGGACGCAACATGTTCGATAAAGATCGGGCACTACCCACTCTGGATTTATGTTTTGGGATGGAATCTTCCTGCGGTTCCATTGCACCGGAAGCCGAGGCTGACTTCGGCGAAAGACATGGCTCTACAGAGCCATAAGATCCGGAACTCCAGCGGACATGAAGTTGTGGCGCTAATTGATACCCACTCTGGGTCATGAGTCCCTTTCGAGGATCAACACGGCGTCGCGATGTCTTCGGCAAACAGTCAGTAGAAGAAAAAAATATTGAAACCATTGCAGGAATTACCTGGTCGACAAATGGATCTTCATTCACGTCCATACCAGTCTTGCGGATACCTCGGGAAGCTGCAGCATGATCCTGACGGATTTTCACCACATCAATATTGTAAAGACTATCACTGAGAGACGGGGTTCTGGTTGATGCCGCATGATCACTTGAATCGTATTCCACGCTCGCAGAAAGGGATGAACGACGAGAAGGGATCTGTGGATATGACAAGCTCGAAGAAGAGCTAGATATCGAGTCGGTTCTATGTATGTGTGTGATGCATGGGGTGCGGCGTTTGAGAACCGTGATCGGCGTATTTGGGGTATGATCCATGGTGTCGCGAGATCTAAACATGCTCACTGTTGGTGACAGGGCGCTCAAACTCAATCTGAATATCTGAAGCCTCTGTCGCACGAGCCAAAGTCGAGTGGGAGGTGACGGGGCAGGCCTCTGAGTCTGATGGGATCTTGTTGCGTCTCTGCTGCTTCCAAAGATTGAAGCAAGAGTGGCACGACAGGCACGATTCTTTGAGGGAATGAATGCTCCAGTAATTAGAACACGCAAGAGCGATCACAACAACGAAGATGAGAACAACGATAGGAACAAGGATCAATGCAATAATTAAAGCTGAGCTTTTGATATCATAGGATGATAGCTTATAGGTCATTTTGGTCGGATATATTGATGTGGGAGGAGAAATTGGGAAAGTAAACAACATTGAAGCCATATGCTCCTGCCGCTTCCCAGAGCACTGACGACTAAGACGGCAACGACGATGTTATTTTCATGGCTCTTGGGCGGATGAGTATCCATGGAACTCTCCAAGATTAAGTCGAAGAACATTCAAAAGAGAAAAAGTAGCATTTTGGGTATCATAATAGAACTTATATCCCGTTCTCTGCCATCGCAGCTATTTTCTCCTTGACTGAGTTCATGGTTGTATCATCCAATCGCGAAAATCGAATCTGAAATGTGGTTAGCATAAGTCGAGAGTCGGCATCAAGGGTCATACCATTTCATCCACACTCCCGCGAGCAGCACCTCCAAACAGCATCGGTTCAGAATGAGAGTTTTCAATCTCATCTTTCACCCGCCTGGCCCAGATTCCATCCCAGTGCCAATCCCCCGGAAGCCGAGCCTGCGGGCTTCCTCGTTTCAGTTGTCCTCGAGGGCCTCCTCGACGATGTGCCTGCCATGCATGCCATGCTCCAGGGTTTCCTGCGACCTCAACCGGTAGCGAATCCAGAACCAATTCGTCATCAAATGTCGAGCGAATATAGTCCAATATCTCCGATACTGGGACGACGTCCCTTTGTTCCGCAAACTGGTCCATAGCAGGTGCCTGTGCCAAGCGTGGCGTATCTACATCACCATCCTCGCTAGCCACTGATGTCACTGGAGGGTTTGACGCGTTCGATTCATCACCATTATCTGTAATAGGGTCGGCAGAGCTTTCACGTCCTGTTGATGCAGCACTTGCACTAGTACCGCTTACATTTCGTGGTGTGTTCCCCGATGCTAGTCCGTTCCGCCTTGCCCTACCAAACCAATGAGGGAATCCATGGCGCAGACTGAATCCTCCGGGCGGTAATCTTTCATCATCCGTTGCGCTAACCGGGTTGTCACTTGCCGAGCTAGTGCTAAATGTATATGTAGTGAGAGGCACAATCAATGGGTGGAACAAGTCGGTCGCGAAGGTAACTAGAGGAGGAAGGTCGGGATAGGTGTCTGGGAAACGGAGTTGGAATCGGAGGACAGCTGAAGCATAGGGGCCTGTAAACGGGAATCAGTCAACTCGTGGGGTGCAGTGGATAATAAATTTGAATTCACCTGAGCGAACAAAAATCACTCCATTCCAGAGTGTTGGGTCCCCGGCCGCGAGGCTCACATAAACCCCTGGCGGTATTGCACGTCTCAAGCTCGCGCTTTCGGAGAGTCAGTACACGGATTAGTCTGTGTATGGTGAGGAGGCTCACAATTCCAGGTGGAGCTGCTGCTTCCGGAGTGAAGGTATGCAGGGCAACTTGGAGGTCGACATGTCTACTTGAGCAGAGGAGGAAGTTGGGAAGATCCGAGGTGTTAAAGCCTAGCTTATCGATTGCTTATCGATTGCTTATCGCCGATCTATATCCGAGCTACAACTGCTGTACGTTGCCTTGGGAGTTCCAATTTTATACATATGAATCAAGAGTTTGACATTTTTTATTAACTTAAATGGTAATGACTGGCTAGTAAAAAAATTGGACCTATGGGAACTATCTACATGGTTCTTTGCGGCTGAAAGTCTGACATGTCACCAAGCTTACGTGAATATATATTAAAACCCTGAACTACACCGTAGTTAGTTAGTTAATTAGGGTTGAAACTTGAGACCATCTAATATAATGTACCCCTGCTTGCTTTTTTTCTTCTCTCACTTCGATAATTCATCATAAACCACCTGAAATGACCAATATGAAAACCATCGGAATCTCCATCCCAACCATTGAAGGCGGGGTCATTGCCCACCAAGAAATCGGACGAGAAGCAGCACGCCGGGGCATTGCTTACCCTCAAATTGTCACCCACACCCCTCTCTACGGAGACCTGGAACAAGCACTCAAATCCGGTGACAACCAGGCCCTGGCAGCATCACTCGCTGACTCGATCAACCGCACGGCCAAAGCTGGCGCTGAGTTTGCCATCATCAGTGCTAATACTCCACACATTGCTTTCGATGACATTGTGGCCCAGTCAAATATCCCCGTTCTCAGTATCCTCGATGTCGCTGCAGATCACTGCAAAAAAGGAGGCTACAAGAGAGTTTGTGTTCTAGGCACAAACTGGACTGTCAAAAACGCTCTCTATAATGGACCGCTACAAAAGAGGGAAATGGCTGCGGTCTATGTGTCTGACTCTGATCAGGAAATCGTCATGAATGCAATCGTGAACGAGTTGATCAATGGACTCATACTGGAAAACACGACAAGTGAGTTGGTGCGCATTGCGAAAGAGCTTGCTACACGATGTGATGGTATTATCCTTGGTTGTACCGAGTTACCGCTTGTTCTTACAGAACAAAACTGTGGCATCGAAGTTGTCGACACAACACGGCTTCTCTCTCATGCGGCTCTCGATTTTGCGACCAAAGAGTGAGCAGTACAGTTTTTTTGCCTCCAGAATTTGATCGATGTGGTACTCCGAACCCCGTGAATATGAATCGTGCTCTGATATGAATCATAGCTGCTGGTAGGACATGATCTAATCTAAGCTTTGTCTATGATCTACCTACATACTCATTGGTTGGAAACTGAGTCTATCTAAATTCACTTCTTTCCCCAAGAGACCCAAATGTACCATCCCCTCCCCAACCCCCTCGTATATCCCTCCAGCTACACCTTCCATCCACCAAGCTGCGAAATTTGTAAGGGCAACGCCAACCCGCCCTTCATTGAACTTGCAAACAGCAGCTCCAATATTAACACTGCCTTTCCCTAACCCATCAGCTGCCTCCAGTGTAGTAGTCACGATGCGCTGAGTAATGTGATGTGTCCGCTCATACTCATACAATTGGCGCATTAGCACCTTTGCATATGGTATAATGAAACGCAATAGAATGAAGAGATGCACAATTGTCGAGGCAAGAATTTTATGCAGATACGACCTCGGCTGAGGCCTTATTTTATGATTTGCGCCATCCACATACTCAGGCGGTGATTTGACCGGCTCTGGAATATTGCGCTGAAGCATAGAAGTTTCCTCGGCAGTCAGATCGGGAGGCAAAGCATCGAGAAGGTAGACCAGAGCGTTAACATAGAGGGACCTAGCTAGGCGACCATCAGGCTGTGGCTGCTGGGCTTCATATCCCGCATTGCGGAGAAGATTGAACGCTTTACAAAGTCAGTGAGAGTTATGCAATGAATACTAGTTACATTTAAGAATTTATGGAGGACTCACCGGGTACGACTCGATTCCACCGCAGGCCAGACGCAGTCTCGTATTTCGTCGTGGATCCCAGGTCCTCTTGGGGGGTATCTGATCCCACGGAGCCAGACTCGAAGGAGTCCAGGTCATCGCTGGCTGTGGAAGGCCTTTGCAGCTCGGGTACTACTGACGCAGTGAAGTGGTTGTGACATAGCAGATGAGGTTCGGACGAAGATGTCAGTCCACGTCGTTGATTCCCACTTGACTCGGTGGCCTTGGACACGGCCCGGGAAGAATACAGGCGGGGTAGTCGACGCCGAATGGACGCCGGGATGGGGAAAATAGCAAGTCCCGAGTACTCCATTGGCAAATGCGATGGTCTGAGTTGAAGTTGAAAGCTAGTTATTTCCAAGATATACATGTACTTGTAGGTTGTTTTGGGGCAAAATTTGAACTAAATGACAAAATGACAGAAACCAAAACTGAAATAGTTCACCAAAAATCTCCGGTTTCACATGTCAACATTTTTCCATTCCGTCCGATCTACTGACTGATAAGAAATCCGATAAGAAAATCCCCGATCTACCCGACGCCGATCTATTCCGAACTGTCGATAACTTCATTGATTTCAAATTTATCAGGCATTGAGGGACCTCTGGTTATTATATCAACTCCTCTGATAGCTCAGCTGGAAGAGCGCAAGACTGTAATTGCCCTGTTCTTCAGAGAACTTGTTATCTTGAGGTCCCTGGTTCGATCCCGGGTCAGAGGATTTTTTTGATTCGAATTCGTAGCCTAGTATGGCTTAGGTCTGTGAGGTATTCGACTGGGAGCAGTGGTCTTAAATACCCATCTTCGAAGCAACTTGGTCTTGGGGTGGAAAAATACATCAGTTGCATCAAGAGAATCCCAGCATAGGACAAAACAACAAGGGGCATATCTATGCTGTAGAGCCGACCAGCCATAAAAGCGGTGAAATAGGTGTTCACCGCCTGCTGCTTTCCGACCACTTATGATTTCTCTACCCTCTTATCATCGACAGCCCGTTTATTTTTATACCAAGAGACAGGCCATCTATCTATCTACTTTCACACTTACTTAAAAAAAACACCACCAAAAAGGCATCATGAGGCCGCATAGGCGACCGACCGACGACTATTTTCGTTGTGTATATCATATGCAAGATATATAGTTCGATTGTGTACAAAAAAGTATTCAAACTCAACTCCGATAGGGGGAATCGAACCCCCGGCTGCCGTGTGAGAGACGGCGATGTTAGCCACTACACCATATCGGATGGTTGAAATTCCTTCCGGAAATTACGTTATTAGGCCTAGTGCTGGCCTTTTCGGTCTAACGTCATAGTGCCCTGTGCGTCGCTGTGTGTGGTTCTATAAAGTCCTCCTTATCGCCCCTTCAACTTTCTAGCTCTCCTGCTTCTCCTTTCTCCCCCTATGCGGTCCTTCGAGCCCTAGAGCGCAATCTACGCTGCTTCCTTCGCCATGCCCCGTTCCCTCTTAGCCCTCGCTATTACGCTCGAGATAAGGTATTTTTGCCCCTAGTCCGTTACGCCGACCGGTAGATTCGTTATATCATATTATCTTGATATCCGACATGATGTGTAGGACTGGTTAAGGCAACATAAGATTAATTATATGGCCCAGAGGAACATGAATCTGGTTTATATTTGACGAAACATGGGGGCCCTGATTGATAATCCCCCAGCCCCATCCATATTTCCCCTTGGCATCGGTGCTGGCGTCTATACGTCTTCGTAATCGGGGGTTATAATTGTCTCCGACACGGACTACAGTTCTCCCGCAAAAGTTTTCCGTGAGTTCCGCCCTGCCAAAAACCATTTATATACATTTGGGTTAGAGATAAGTACACCCCGGAATTCAGCGACTATGCCTCACTAACTACGGCAGGGGAAGTCCAGGTATATTCTGCGGGCAGGATTTCGTCCTGGTAGCCATAGAGTTACATCGTTTTGGCTATAGTGCTGTTTCGTGGAGTATTGAAGTCTCAACTATAAATGGTGCCCACCATCCATCGTAGCTATTGGTATTTGTTAGCCGGCATCGCGTGCTCGGGTCTCCGGTTGAGCTATTGAGTAGACCATAAATGGGCCCGACGTCTAAAGCCCAACCCAGCCCACTGGGCTTTTAGTGGCGGCCACGCTAAAGCCTATCGTAGCGCTAATAAATCGGCCTCTATAATTGCAATATTACGACCTTCTACTAATCGTATGAAGTTCAAATTTAGATAATAAGATTATAACTAGTAACTATATAAGTATATATCTCAATTTTAAACGAAATATAACCGGGAAAAGTCGCGATATTATAATTTTTAAATTATCTAGATTAACACGTTTTTCGCGTTTTTTAACGTGATATAGAAATATAACTTATAATTGATTCTGAATCATTTAATTTAATAGAATATTACCTTAGTTATAGTAGTGAGACATGATACTAAATATAAGGTAATTAAAAACAACTAAATAAGTGGTTTAATTTTACTGAGCATCTCGATTTTTTGCAATGTTTATATTATTTTTGGCCTATTGGGCCCCCACAAAAACCTAGTAGGCTTCTACCTTAGGCCTATGGCCCACCGGTGGGCCTAAAGACAGGGCCTAAAGCCCAGCCCATAAATGGGCTGGGTTGGGCTGGGCTGTGGGCTTTGTGGGCTTTGCGGAGGTCTACTATTGAGCTATTCTTAACACGGGAGACAGCTCATTTAGAACCTAACAATTGCCCCGTCAATCATACAAGGTAAGTAGACACTATGCTTTTGGAAAAGATCCGAAATCAAGGACTGGCCCGAGGATCCCTCTGTTCTTCCGACATCTTAGCAGCCGCAACAATTCCATCTATACCACCCCTCCGATATGTGTTCAGAAACAAGAGGCCTGCAACAACAACATTGGCCCCCGCGAATGCAATCATAACTTGCAAACCATCATTATATCCCCTGCCATACACCTGTCGCACAAGCGCAAGCTGGTCAGCGCTAAACCCACTGGCAGTATTCAGTGATTCCTTAGCGATGCGAATAAGTTCTGGGTTATCCGAGAGAACCATTGGCAGATCATTATCAAGCCGGGAGCTCAACATCGCATCGCAGACCGCCAACCCGATACATCCTCCCATCGCACGTAACATATTCATGGCACCTGTTCCCGTCGCCGTGTCGCGGTTTAGAAACGTTAACTTCAACGCAACGTACTGGGTCGAAGAGAGGACACCAAGACCTGATCCCATGAGAACCTCAAACCCGTATTGCCTGTCAGAAACTGGGTGGTCTACAGATAGATCGCTAAAACAGGCCGTTGCTGTCAGGACCAGGGCCGCGCCGAATATGAGAAGAGAGTAAGTCATCTCGGGCTTTTTGGCAAGTATTCCGCCGGAAATCAGCGAGAATAAGGGAAGAGTCAATGTGAGAGTGAGAAGTAGCACACCGGCTCGGGATGCGCTGACGTGGTTGACGGCCTGGAACCTTTGTGGGAGGATTATGATCGCGGTATAAAAGGCGAAGCCCATAAGTAGAACATTCCTGGTACAATTGCATGGTGAGTGAACGAGACTTACATGACTTTTCAAATTTGGTAGACTTACAGTAGCAACAACCCCTGCATAGGGTCACGGATGAACTTGACAGGGAATACTGGTTCTCTCGCGCTGTTTTGGTGCTGGAGCCATGTTTCATACGCGACAAATGTAATCAGGGCCACGATACCCCCGACCAGAGTACCGATTATCCCGCTACTACTCCAGGCATAGTGGGACCCACCTTCCTGGAGGGCAAAGAGAATTGGGATCAACCAACAGATTGAGAGAAACGAGCCGACAAAATCAAACTTCTTGAACATTTGACGGTTGAACTTGACCTCCTTCGATGAGGGAATCGCACACCCTAAGATCAATCCCGCAATGGACGCCAGGGGAATACTGTCTAGGTCAGCTGGTGTACGTTTCTTCCTATATGCCTGCGTTGGGTACGTACTTAATATAGAATATCCACCGCCACGTTGTGTTGTCCACGATAACACCTCCCAGAATCGGGCCTAGGAGGTTGGATAGCGCGAAGACTGAGCTGATAATACCGGAGTATAGAGCAGCCTTTTCGAGGGAGATCAATCGGAGGATCGCGACGAAGACGAGGCAGTAAAGACCTGATGCCCCTATACCCTGTAAAGCGCGAAATACAATTCTTTTTTGTTGCTAGTCAGCTATATTCGCAAAACGATCAAGGCACATCAGGTTCTCACAGTTGGTCTATTGTACTGGATACACCAGAAGCAATGGAAAAGACGAGAAAGATGACGTTCGAGACGAGGAGCAGGAGCTTGAGTCCCACGATATCGCTAAGCTTTGCGAGGAGGAGAACGAACGCTATAGCGAGAATTGAGAAGGTGTTCTTAAGTGTAAATAGTGGGGCTATTACCATTGAACGTTAACAGATACGATGTCACAATCCAGGCTGACTGACTGGTGCTATTGAAGCTGTTCGAGATATCGAAGACCGCAGTCGAGATGATTGTGCTGTCGAGGGCGGCGAGAAAGAGTGAAATCCAGAGGCTGCGAGGAATGAGCAAACTGGACCGTCTATATGAGACAAAGCGAATACGTACCCAAAGACGATAATGTTAAGTCGTAGAGGGGAGATGGATGCGTGAAGCCCAGTGGGCTCCTGGGTTTCCGCGCCCTCTAGGCTGCTTTGGTCCCGTTGTGATTTCTGTGATTTCTCCGCATCGCTCCCTTCAATTTTATGGCTGTCTTGATTTTGGGACTTGATTGATTTATCTGGTTCTTGGGCCGAGTGCTGTTCCTGCTTGACTGGATCCATACTAACTCTCCTGCGCACTCAGATAGGGAAATCGAGGAGGGGTTGTATCTCCTGAGGGTGAAGGGCAATTTCCGACCCCTGGGTCGCCTCATTCGGTTGCAAGCGGCACGGTCGGAGTCGGATCAAATGTCGAAGGATTGTTCGGTGCGCTACTGGGGACATATCCCTGTCGGGTGTCTACGCTAATGCGTAAGGATAGTGGTCACTGCTGATGTCTCGGTGTCTCTCATGATATCTGAAGCCTAGGACGCATCCAGTAAGGATCAGGTTCCGAGCATGGTTATCACTGTCTAAGGGACCGTTAGGGACTTTGATCCTGTTTGGTTTTAATATTCACCGCTTGTATCTCCCTCGTAGTAATCTTCATACTAATTATTCTATTGACCTAGATTTAGGGGGAGGTAGTTAGTTATAGGACCGAAGTCCTCAGTGGTATGTATTGTGATATCTGGTGCATTCGGGGACCAAGCGCATGTTCAATATTGTATCCTGCTACTAGTACGGGGTACAACACCCCCACTGGCAGTTCCATCTGGTGGCATGATTATATATGTCTTGACGGGGTAATCTCCTTTACAAAGGACAATGCAACGTATACGCCCACCCCGGTGCAGCCCTAATGCAACAGGACAGGTTTTACAATCAGCTGGGAGGTTGGTGCCTTAATATCTTGTTTTAGCACCGCTTTCTACACCGCTCTATACGGTGTACTGTAAACCATACATACCTCAATTGATTCAAGCAGGGTACTTTGATTAAGGCATTGTAATAATAATTCAGGTATCTTGATTTTTCTGCCATTCTAAAACAAGGCATTAAGGCATCAATCCCTGTAAACTGGCCCGATGGGACTCCGTAGGCCGGCCCGCTCCGCCTGGGGGTCATACCGCTTGGATCACCCCACCACGGCCTTGGCAATGTCTACGTAGGTCACCTCCAGTCTTTTCCCCTCATCCTTCTCTCCCATAGAGGAAACCAAAGAAATTATTGATTTTATTGGTCTATTGTTCCACAATACGATTCAGAACGTGAGGTCTAGCGCACATTAGGGTCATTTAGCGTTGGCCCCTGACGAAGGGGACGGATATCGGCCCATATGGCTGAGTATACATGGGCAGCCGTTAATGAGCCCTCCACGAATAATTATGCGTCACCGCTCAGTATAGAAATGTGGACTTGAAACTTAGGAAAAAGCGTTAAAAAGAATACAGCTACTATATATATCTATACTTCGTTCTCGGTTTTCTGCTTCATCCTGTACGCATCTATATATTCCATAATCTAGAGCTGAGAGGATGGCACCTTGTCCCAATGAACCTATCGCTATTATCGGCAGCGGTTGCCGCTTTCCGGGAAACGCGAGTAGTGCATCTCGCCTCTGGGACCTGCTGCGAGACCCCCGAGACTGTCTGACTGAGATCCCGAAAGACCGATTCAACTGGGAAGGTTACCACTACCCAAACGGAGCACATCATGGAAGCAACACAGCCAGGTATAGCTATTTTTTGGAGGAAGATATCCGCAAATTCGACCCGCAATTCTTCAACATCCAGCCAGGAGAGGCAGAGGCAATTGACCCGCAGCAACGATTGCTCCTGGAGACCGTCTATGAGGGGCTGGAGTCTGCTGGTTTGCCGCTTGAAAGCCTTCAAGGTTCATCGACAGCTGTTTATGTAGGTATGATGAGCTGCGACTACGATGAGGTGGTGCAGCATGATATAGACTGCGCGCCGACTTATGTGGCCACCGGTACCTCGCGCAGCATTCATTCAAACCGTATCTCCTACTTTTTTGACTGGCATGGGCCCTCCATGACTATTGACACTGCGTGCTCGTCTAGCATGATCGCTGTTCACCTGGCTGTGCAGTCCCTCCGAAGTGGAGAGTCGTCGGTGGCTGTTGCCTGTGGTGCAAGTTTGATTATCACCCCCCGTATGGCTTTTTCTCTCTTTCCTATCCTCTCGCCTCCTGCGTAAAGCCTAACTAAATCTGGATTTTAGAAAACTATGTCATCCTCAGTAATCTGAGCATGATTTCTCCCGACGGCCGTGCGAAGATGTGGGATGCTAGTGCAAACGGGTACGCCCGAGGCGAAGGTGTTGGCGCCATTGTGTTAAAAACACTAAGCGCAGCAGTCGCAGACGGCGATCCAATTGACTGCATTATCCGCGAAACCAGCGTCAATCAGGATGGCCGCACACGCGGTATCACCATGCCAAGTAGCACAGCCCAGGCTGACCTGATTCGAAAGACATACCAGCGGGCTGGACTGGATATCTCCAAAAGAGATGACAGACCTCAATATTTTGAAGCTCATGGAACTGGAACAATGGTTGGGGATCCGAGGGAGGCGGAGGCGGTGCATAATGCCTTCTTTGATGGACGTGAGGAGGGCCTTGGGGAGGATGATGCCATCCATATTGGATCTATCAAGACTGTCATCGGCCACACCGAGGGTACTGCTGGTCTTGCTGGATTGCTCAAAACAGCTCTCGCGATTAAACATGGCTACATCCCGCCAAACATGCTGTTCAATCACCTGAACCCGGCGGTGGCACCTTATGTAAAGCATCTTCGCCTAGCTACGGCTCTGAAGCCATGGCCAATACTTGACAGCGGTGCACCGAGACGGGCAAGCGTTAATAGTTTTGGTTAGTAACGCCCCCAGTATTCGGCCTTGAAGCCTGAGATAACTGTTAACCACCACACGATGATAGGCTTTGGTGGCGCAAATGGACACGCTATCCTGGAAAGTTATGAAGACACGAGAGGGGCTCACGCAAAGTCTGACAAGCAAACATCAACAGTGGCAACACCATTTGTGTTCTCGGCCCAATCGGAGCGGACCCTCGTGTCAATACTGCAGAACTTCTCCGAGTATCTCAAGTCCTGTGCCGAGATAGACCTGCGCAGTATCGCTTCAACTCTGCAATACAGACGATCAGCATTCAGTGTGCGAACAGCAATCACGGCACTCAACGTGGATGACCTTCTATTCAAACTGAACACCAAGCTGTTGAGCTCGACGGAAACGCCGGTCGGTATCAAGTCATCTCTCAAGCATGACGCACGGATCCTCGGTGTTTTTACAGGACAAGGCGCACAGTGGGCGGGTATGGGTCAGAAGCTACTTCGAACTTCCCCCAGAGCTCGTGAGATAGTACAAGACCTGGACAATTCACTGGCAAGCCTTCCCCGAGAGTACGACCGTCCTTCATGGACAGTACAAGAAGAGCTTGTAAAGTCCCCAGACGACAGCCGTATTGGGGAAGCAGCCATCTCCCAACCCCTTTGTACTGCCATCCAGATTCTCCTTGTTGACATGTTACATAATGCCGGCCTCCGGTTCCATGTTGTCGTAGGGCACTCGTCTGGTGAAATTGGCGCTGCATACGCGGCTGGCCTCATCACGGCATCAGATGCCATCCGCATCGCTTACTATCGTGGCGTTTATGCGAAGCTCGCAGGTGGGCAAGAGGGGAAACATGGAGCAATGATAGCGGCTGGAATATCACCCGATGAAGCTCGGGAGCTATGTGCAGTACCAAGGCTTCATGGGCGTCTCTCTGTGGCTGCGTGTAACTCTTCTGCGAGCGTCACCATATCTGGAGACCACGATGCCATTGATGAGGCGAAGTTGGAACTCGATGAGCATAAGAAATTCTTCCGGGTGCTAAAGGTTGACACGGCTTACCACTCGCATCATATGCTACCTTGCGCAAAACCCTACCTTGATGCATTGCAATCGTGCGATATTCGCCCAGTATTACCCGCCAAGGAAGGCCATTCACCCGTTTGGCTTTCCAGTGTCTATGCAGGTGAGGTGATGTCAGAATCTAGCTCTGGGCTTTCAGGCGAATACTGGGTTGCCAACATGACACAGCCAGTTCTTTTTGCCGGCGCACTGGAGGCTGCACTCAGCACGCCAGAGGGGGCAATCGATCTAGGACTAGAAGTCGGCCCACACCCAGCCCTTCGATCGCCCGCTCTACAAATAAGCCAGGACGTGGGTGTGACCAAGTTCCCATACAGTGGAGTCCTAGCTCGGGGAAAAGACGACCTCAATGCGTTTTCAGAGGCCTTGGGAATGCTGTGGACCTACTGTGAGCGTGGGACAATCGACTTCGCCCGCTTTGACCAGACGTTCTTCTCCCACGCAACCAAGGTATCCTTTGTACGGGAGATTCCAACCTACCCATGGGACCATGAAAGATCCTACTGGTTTGAGTCTCGGAAGGAAAGGGCCGGGCGCAACCGACCTGGACCGGTGCATAACTTACTGGGAGTTCGCTACGGTGATACCACCGATACAGAGCTCAAATGGCGAAACTTTCTCATTCCCAAGGAGTTACCATGGCTCTATGACCATCGTCTTCAGGATCGGGCGGTGCTTCCAGGTGCGGCATATGTGGTGATGGCATGTGAGGCGGCCTTACTAAAGGCGGAAGCTGAGAAGGTGCGACTTATTGAGGTCCGTGACTTGGCTATTAACCGGGCCATCTCGTTTGATGAAGAAACCACGGGTGTCGAGGTCGTATTTACCTTGTCAAATTTTGAACAGACACGAATAAACACCGGCTCGGGCGAGGAAACGTTCAGTGCAAACTGGATGGTGCAATCTCCGACGAACAAGGAGACAGACAAGTTGGGATTGGTTGCTAGTGGATGTGTTTCATTGCTCTTAGGATCATCAGAGCCCAGTGTGCTTCCGGGCCGCGCTTCTGAGGACTCCCTGCCAAATATGGTTTCTGTCGATGTGGATGAATTCTACACTGGACTATATGAGCTCGGGTACGGGTACACTGGGTACTTCCGGTCTATTTCCCGCTTGGAGCGCAAGATGGAGCACTCATCTGGTTGGTTTGAGCCTCAAGCACCAATTGAGGATGCGATCGTGCATCCCGCATTGTTGGACGTCGCATTCCAGGCCTTGTTTGCGGCCGTTAGCTACCCCGGCGATGGAGGACTATGGAGTCTACATGTGCCAACCGGAATTCGTG